GGAAGAGGGGAGAGGCTTCCTTGGAGAGCCCTTTAAGAGCCAAAAAACAGGGATGGAGGAGACAAAACATGATTCAAATGTGCTGTGACAGGATGGATCAGGCTCTTTCTAGACACTTTCTGCCTTTTCCCACTCTTGGTGCCTTCGGGTTCTCGTGGAGCTGGAGAGCAGGAACAGCTCTGGGCAGACAAGGAAACAGAGTCTGCTCTCAAGCTACACAAAACCCCTTCCCTTGAACCCCAAATGCTTTTTATTCCATGACAAACACTCCTGGCCCCATTGCCACCGTGTGGGGTCCGGGGGTGTTCAGCACGACCCAGGGGAGATGTCCCAAAATTCCGAGGAGCACACGAGGAATTCCCACCCAGAGCCAAACCCAGCCCCCCCCCCCCAGCAGCCTGGATGCTAAATTATTACATGTATTATTTATTGTACAGCCTGTGGAGCTGTCAGTCCTGCACCAGAGAGCCATAAAACAGGAAGGGAGAGGGATAAGTGTTCAGTGCTGATTCCTGCTTGTTTCCATAAGGGCAAGAGCAGCTTGACACCGTTTGGAGGCTGAATCCTAAAACCACTTTAACAAAGGCAGGAGAGAGGGTTGGACACTGGGGTGGTGCCTTCCCAGGAGCAGAATAAATGACACCACTGCAGGGGATCCCTTCCCCTCATCCTGGGAGGGAGGGGATTGAACACCAAGGTCCCCCTGGGGATTCTGTACCTCCCCAGCACCACCAGTATGAGAACCAGTGTGGCCAAGGTGAGGGCTGAGGAGCTCTGTGGGGCTGGGGAAGATGCCCAGTGCCATGCAGGGACCCCCAAGACACCGGGAAGGCTCTGGGTGAGGTCACAGCAGCAGCAGGCTGGGGAATCAGGGATGGATCAGGGATCCCAACACCTCCCCGGGGCTGCCTCAGCCACGAGGTTTCCCAAAGCCCTCCACTTGTTTTTCCTCCCTCCCAGCACCAGTTCCTGCCAAGGCAGCAGCGGGGAGGGGATGGAGCAGGCTCTGGTGCAGGTAGGGAGCTATTTATACCTGTGCCACATCAAAGAATCTCTGCTGCTGACGCCACGGAGCTCTAATAGCAGAGAGGGGGTGGGTTGGTGAGGCTGGCAGAGCTGGGGATGGCCCAGGGTTTGGGCAGAGCTGGGGATGGCCCAGGGTTTGGGCAGAGCTGGGGATGGCCCAGGGTTTGGGCAGAGCTCCCCACAGCTCAGCTCTACCCACATGGAGAGGAAAGGGGAGACCTGCAGTGGGGAGCTTTATTTTGGAGTTTTATTTTGGGGAGGAGGTGACCTCGACTCCCAGCCTGTCTGAGCATCCCCTCCCGTGCAATCCCAGAGGAATAACCAGCATTTCCCGGGGAAAGGGGGTGCAGGAAAAAAGAATAATAATGATAATAATAAAAAAAAAGGCAAACCCGCTGACTGCAAAGCCCAGATCGAAAATTCAGACTTCCCAACATAACAGAAGAGCAGGAAAGGCCCCCTCATAACATCACCCTTTTTATCAGAATTAGATTTTACCCCCCCAGGGATCCCAGCCCATCCCGTGCCTCCCACACCCCATCCCATGTCCCTGGAGCGAAGGCAGATCCCGGCTTTGTCTCCTCACAAAAGGGAGGGTTTGCCTGGATGGGGCTGAACCAAAAGAAAACTCCCACTGAGCCCCCGTGACAATGAGGGGCTGTGACCCATGATGTCCCTGCATGCACCAGCCAATTATTAGGGAAAGGCACTTAAAAGGCACAGGGAGAACAGGGAGCACTGGGAGCCCGTGCCTGGCTGCAGCTTTCCTGCTGGGATCACCCCAGAGCCCTCCTGCCCCTCATACAGGACCAGAAGGGCTTCTTTTACCCCCAGCTGAAGCCAAACCTCTCCCTGCTCTGAGCAGGAGCTGCTCCTGGGTGCCAGGGCTGCCTCCCCCGTGGCACAGCCACACACTGACCCACCAGCATCCATAAAATCCGCTCAGGGAAGCACAGCCCTGGAGCAGCAGCTCTTCTCCCAGCACCTGGCTCCAACCCGGTCCCATCCAACACAAAATCAGGGATGGGAGGGTGGGAGCGTTGCAGCCTCGGCCCCTCAGCAGCTCCAAACTCTCCCAGTGATGCCCCCCCTGGACCTGAGCTCCCAGGGGGGCTTTCTCTCCCCCCACAGGGATTTCTCTGTCTTTTCCAGCATGTTGGATAACCTGGGCTCTTCCTCTCACCCTGCTCTGAGCTCTTCCCCCTGTTCATCCACCTGGGGAGGAAAGAGCAGGAGCCACTGATCAAACATTGATCCTTATCCAGCCAGGGCTGCTACAGTTAATTGATTATTATCAATTTAAGGTCCTTTGGCTGGGGACAGATATCAAAACCAGTAGTGCCCACAGCACTCCTCTGCCTCGTGTTATGACCCCCACTGGGTCCCCCAGTAACTGCAGTGGGGTTTGGGGTCTGTTTTTGGGGTGTGAGGAGCCTGAGCTCCACCACAAGGCTTTGAACCCTCTGAGGCTGCTTTTGGTCCTCGTTTGGGCCTTGGACACTTCACTGCTTGGGGTGGCTTTGGGGTGGTTTGCAGGATTTCTGCAGCAGCTGCTGCTGCAGGTCCTGGAGCCACCAAGAGATCAGAACCCAGAAAAGCTCAGGAGAGGCTGAATTCAGAGTTTGCCTCTTAAATCAATCTCCTGAGCACAGGCAGTTTTACAGGAGGACAGATCCATTACAACAAACCCATTTGTAGCTCACTGAAACACGCTGTGCTGGGATGGACAGAGTGTTCCCAACCTTGGGGAGGGCTTGCAAGTCAAAACCCAGGGAACATCAAAAGCCTGCCCTTCCCAGCCCTTGCCATGGTCCTGAATAAAAGAGACACTCCTGAATAAAAGAGACACTCAGCACAGGAGGAGCTGCAGCATCACCCACCCTCAGGAGCAAAATCCTTCCCCAGGGAAGGCAGCAGCACAAGGAGCTGCCCCACTTAAAAGTGCTCCTGTGGTCAGTGAGCACAGGAGATGGAATTACACTGATTTATCCTGGTAATGGATAGTGCTCTGCTGGCCTTGTCACCTCCTGTCAAAGCCCATCTCCCCCCAAAAGCCACCCCTGGCCTCCCCACACCCAAAATCCAGCTGGAGTCCCCCCTGCAGAGGATGCTGCTCCACAGCCAGAGCTGGAGCTGGACCAGGACCAGGCAGTGTCTCCTCTCCCAGAGGCTCAGGACTCCTCCCAGTCTCTCTTGTAGCTCCTTGACTCTGTCTCCACGATAATGGATCATTCCCAGATCCCAGGGGCTCCAGAGGAAAGGGCTAATGCTGGTGGTTTTCCCACTGTGCCCATGCCTGCCCTGCTGCAGGAGGTATTAATGACACATCCATTAGCAGGGAGGGCAGATCCCCTTTCAGTGCAGCAGAAGGTTCTCGAGTGACTGTCAAAATACCCCAGGCTGAGGGGAAAGAACAGGTCCCTGTGGCCCTGCTCTAATTAGGGAGGGAGGGCAGGTCTGAGTGTGAGATGCAGAGTGCCTGGGCACGCCTGGGAGGAGCTGAGGGTCGGGTGCTTGGGGTCGTGGCTTTGGAGAGGCCCCCGAGGCCCCAGCCCAGCCCCAGGGGTGACCTCAAGAGCAGCAGCCCCTCAGGCACAATTTGATCGTGGCTTTTAGGTGACAAGGCAGCCAGGACCAGGGAAAGCAGCATCCAAGAGGATGAGTTCATCCAGGCTCTGGTTGCACATAAATTCAGTGTCAGCACTCGGAGAAACTCCTCCGTTTCTCTCTTCCATCTCCATTTGGTGGGGACGGGACCTGGAGCTCCTCCTGGCTGTCACATTCCTGATTTTTTTTACCAAGTTAGAGCACAGGGTGGATTTAAAGCAGCAGAGCAGCAGCACCTCCCTCAGCAGGAGCCTCCCGAGGAGCAGCTCAGCACATCCCACCTCCAGAGCCGCCCCGAGACACCCCGAGCATTCCAGGAACAGCCCCCCGGGAGGGGGGCTCTGGGGAGGGGGAGGGATGAGCACAGGGGAGTGGGAAGAGAGAACGTGGTGAATAAAAGGGATGAGAACAGATGGGAAGAGGCAGAGCCGGAGCCAGCACAGAGCTGTGGTTTTACATCACAGATAATGATCCGACAAATAACCCAACGATTCAGATCAGCTCGATTTTCACAGGATACCAGCTCTGCTTGGCTGCAGGGGGTGAAGCTGAGGGGGGGTGCTGGGGGCTGTAGCCCATGGAAAGGCATCACAGCTCTTCCTTCCCTTGTCCTGCCCTGATCCCAGCCCTTGGGAACACCTCCTGTTGAGGTGGAAGCACAGGGGACAGGCAGGAGGAAACCTGTTCAGATACAGCACATCCAGCAGCAAGTGGGAAGTGCTGATAAAACCAGGGAGGTGGCAGGAGCTGCCCAGAGGAGCCTCCAGCCCCCCAGGAGGGACAGTGGCCCACACTGACCTCCTCCTCCTTCTTACATGGACTTAAACTGACGGAGAGTGGGTTTAGATTGGATTTTAGGAAGGAATTCCCCCC